AATGCCAAGGCACCCTGATAGGATACAGTCTGGAGCTGGGAATCTGGAGGAGCGAGGAGAAGGGTTATGGGTGGGAAGTGTTGGATGTTGAGACAGTGGGGAGGAAAGTGCCTTCAGTATATGTTTCTTTCCCAGAGAGGAGCTAGAGGCTCCAAGGAAGGCTGCACATGCAGGCACCCGAGCTGGGAACAAAGCTCAGGACTACAGACAAGGCACTGCGCCTGTTGGGACCTCTTCTGGTGTAGGAATGCCAGCTTCTTCCCTGGAAGAAGAATGTCATGTACTTGGGTCATTAAAGTCACACAGAGCTTGGTAGTCTGTTTGCATTGTAAAGATGGTAGAGTGTTTCCTAATAGTTGAGTCTGGCTCCGGGCCACAGAACACGCAGATGGAGAGAACCCAGGACAGCCAAAACAGGGTGAGACCAAAGTCAGAAGGCTAACCCTGCCTGCTGCCAAAGGCATAGACATAAAGTTTTTCGTGCATATATCATGCCTGTTGTTTCTGATGTCAGCTCATACAGTGGTTTATTTATGATTCTGATCTTATCAAAGAACCATCTTTTTATTTTGATAATTTCTGGGTTTGTCTGTTTCATAAATTTTTGCTGTGATCTTTATTATTTCCTTTGTCCTACTTAGTTTTGGTTTAATTTTCTTGTGTTTATTTTTCATAGCACTTGAAAAATGTAAAAACATTGAACACAAAATCAATCCTGTCAAGAGAAATTTTCAGTGTACAATCCGGCGCTGTTTCCTGTCAGCACACTTTAGTACAGCAGATCCCCGGAACCTGCTTATCCTGAATGGCTGAAATGTTATCCCTTGTACAGTAGCTCATTTCCCACTATCCTGCCTCGAGCAACCAGAACTCTGGCTTCTGTTTGGTCTCTTTCACATACACTTTTTATCCTTTTGCAACTAGCTCATTTTACCTAGCATAATGTGTGGTGCGTTTATACCACATTTTGTTTATCTATTTATTCACAAAATAAATTGTGTGTGTTGTTTCCGTGTCTTGGCTCTTAAAATCAATGCTGTAACAAACACAGGAGTTCAAACAAATCTTTGAGAGTGTAATTTCATTTTTCCTGCAGAAATACTGAGAAGGATTGTTGCGTGTTATCAGACTTCCCCTTTTAGACTTTTTGAGGAAGCCTCATGTTGTTTTTCAATGCAGCAGCATCATTTATATTCCTGGACACTGAATAAGAGTTCGCGTCTCTGCTGCACATCCTTGCCTCCCCACCTCCTCCCTAATTGGTTATCTGTTCTCTGTTTCATTCTGGGGTGCTCCTGTTGTGGGGTCCTCAGGATTCACTACAACATTTTCTTCCTGCCGGTTTAAACTGCTTTTAAAGCACCTTATTCACATGCTTGACGTTGCATTTCCTCTAGAGTATTGGAGGTTGACGAAGTATCATTCATGGGGCTGAAGGAGGCCTCCGCAGTTAAGAGCCTTTGCTCTTGGCGAGGCCTGAATTTGGTTCCCAGCATTCATATGGTGGATCTGACTCCCTGCCATGGCCCCACAGGTACCTACATGCACAGGATGCATATAAATACAGATATACACTCAGGCACATACACACATGGTTAAATTAACAATGCCTCCCAAAACTCCCTTACGGCAACCGGTTTCTTCTCTGCCTTTGTTGCCAAACAGGAAATATTTATAAGTACTTTTGTTGTTGTTGTTAGTGTTGTTTTGTCCACTCTGTCATCAGTGTCAACTTCGGTTTATTAATTTTGTCCTTATTGAGTCGAACGTTCCTACTTCTTGATGTCTGGCAACCTTTTAAATGAAGTGCTCAGTGTTACACATTTTACCTTACTGGTGCTGGTTACATTTGTATTCTTATAAGAAATCTTAAGTTTTGTTCTAGGGTAAGTTACCTAGGAATCATTGAATCCTCTCGAGTCTTTTAAATGTCTGCAGGAAGTGATCAGAATAGAACTTGGTCTGGGATTAATGTTGCCCTTTAATGGGTCAACGTCCTTCTGAGCAAACTACCTAATGCTCCAGGTATTAGGAAGTTCTTCATTCTGGCTGGTGAGGACGGCTGCTATTCTGGGCCCCACGTGAGCTTGAGGCCCGTTCCTTCTAATCCTTTGGAGCAGCTCTCTCTTGACCTTGGGTAGTTTTCCTTACGCGAGGAAAGCTCTTGCTGTAGACTTGAGGGATCTTTAAGATCCTTCATTTTTAGCCGGGCGGTGGTGGCGCACGCCTTTAATCCCAGCACTCGGGAGGCAGAGGCAGGCGGATATCTGTGAGTTCGAGATCAGCCTGGTCTATAAGAGCTAGTTCCAGGACAGGCTCCAAAACCACAGAGAAACCCTGTCTCGAAAAAAGAAAAAAAAAAAAAAAAAAAAAAAAAAAAGATCCTTCATTTTTCTCTCTTGGTGCATCTTTCTCCTTTCTGCTTATCTGTCCTTTCTTCAAACTCCTGTTGCTTTGCCCCTGTACTCACAGCCTTCTCCCCCTCACTCAGGGAAATCTCTGACTTCTCCGGGGAACCCCGTCTTAGATTGCATATCAGAATCATCCTACAGGCAGCAAGTTGGGGCTCGGAGCTCTTGGTGTTTGGTTTTAACTTGAGATCGGTTGTTTCTTCTGGTAAATATGCTTCTACCGCATCTGTTATCTTAGACTGCTATAATAATGGATTATTATAGATTAGGTGAATTAAACAACTGATATTCATTTTTTTTATAGTTCTGGAGGCCAGAACATCCATAGTGCCAGCAAGATAGTATTCATTCTGAGACCTCTTCTGCTGCCTTGTGGGTGGTCACCATCTTACCATGTGTTTAAGTGGCCAGTATGTGAACACTTAGAAGGGAACATCAGTCTCTTCCTTTTATTATAAGGATATTAACTCCACCTTGGGTACTCTAATTTTATGCTCTTTTAAGCACAATTACCTCCCGAAGAACCTGCTTTCTAATCTCACCACATTGGGTGTTGGGGTTCATCATATGATTTTAGAGAGGCACATTCGGTCCTTAATCTCCATCTTGTTCAGAAGTGAGAATCCTTTCAGACTGTGTTTTGAGGAAGCCTAACCTTCAAGATGTATAATATCAAGGCTCTGGAACAGCTAATCAGGTAATGTCACTGCAATAATTCTCAGTCTCTAATGGCCTTGTATGTAGTGTGAATTCCCATGAGGCATATATAGTATGAAACAGCTCCAAATTCATTACTAGAAAACTCTAAAGGGAGGAAGAAGCATTTTTGATGGAGCCTGCTGTTCTGATGTCACTTTTTTTGCATGACTATCTACCTGTTAATTGTAAAATCCAGCCAATGAGTGATGTCTCTCCTTCTGATAGTTCAACTTTCCAGTGTTAACTGTTTTATATGCTTCTTTCATATCCAGAGGACCAGTGTAGGAACACAGTCCAAGAAGGGAGTTGTATGAGACATCTGAGTGCTTATGAGAAATCTCCAGGATAACAGACGAGAGTCTTGTGACCTCTGTTTCTTAAAAACATGGGATTGCTCTTGGAATGTGTTTTTGTGCCCTTCCCAGGTATAGCAGATAGGAATGGGTTTACTCAAGATTGTTCATTACAATTGGTTATTGTTGTTTACATAGAAAAACATGTTTTTCCTGTGTGCTGCTTGTCTGTCATATGAAGCTTGCCCTTGGGATTGAACACTTTAGTCATGTGACTCCTCTTAACTCTTGAGTATAAATTGTCCAATCTTTTGAATAAAGTTGGCTATTGCATGAGACTTCAGTCTGTCTCATTTATTGGCTCCATTCTCCCAGGCCCCATTTCCTCTAGAACAGTAAACACACCAAGCCCTATTTATTTGACATTTGTTTGCATATTAGAGATGAAGAACAAAAGCTTATGTTAGGCAACATACTTAGCAATGGTGGAGGTAGAATTTAAGTCCATTTTTGACAGACTGCAAACAAAAATGGGGAAATATTTGTGAGGATATGTGAGAATATGTTTGTAACTGTCACGTCTGTTTTCTTTGTCTCCAGATTGGGGTGACTAATATGCAAAAACTATATGTACAGGAAATGTTCCCTTCCCTCTCAGCTACCTCCCTCACTTGGGCTGGGCGTCCTGGTGGTATGGCAGAAGTGAAGGGAGACCTGACGTAATCCTAGGAGGCATCTTCATACAACCAAGTATTTATACTGGTAAGAAGACTCTGGAATGGCATGAGGGTTGCTGGTGCCTTTCTCTAGCTGAGCCCGCCGGCTCTGTTTTAGGGCGAACATGCTTGGTTGGCTTTCTGTTGAGGAAAGTTGAGTTCCTTGTCACTGGTAGAGTGCCTTACCACATTTCTGTGCTTGAACCAGCCTGGCATCATCCAGAGCTGACAGAGCTGGGGACTAAGATGGCGTCTAGTCAGCTGTGCTCCTACACAAAGCATCTGTCTTTATACACACTCAGTTCTTTTCATTGTCTTTCACTTCTTACACAGAAAATGCTCATTCACTTCTCTTCTGGAGGAAGAAGCCCTTTAGCATGTACAGTAGCTTAGTCCCTTTCCATCTGTCTCCTTTCTTCCCTCCCTCTCTCTGCCCCGTGTTAGTCCATCCATCTTTCATGTCATTGGTGTCAAGCTTTGTGTATTACGTGTACAGGGCAATGTGCATATTAGAGGTAATTTATGCTTTCTAGTTCAAGGGAGCTTCCTAGTGAAAAAGGAAGATTGATAAAGGAAGAAGCCTGGTGCAGTCTAAGTATGGCTGGCTGCTTCTTGACATAGCCAGAACTATGGACGGGTTCCTCTGCTCTGGTATGGCACTAGGTGGGTGACTTGGTTATTTCCACTCATCTGGTGAACGTGGTTCTCTTCTTCCTCTTTTGATTTCCTTCTGCTCATTATTTCTATTTGTTCATGACATGGAGAGAGATTATTTGAAATGTTCAGGAAGAACTTGTCCTGTAACTTACTGCAGGTTCTAGTCCATGGCTGAGAGAGAGGGAGAGTGAGAAAGAGAGAGAGAAAGACCAAAGGCACAAAGATTTGAAAGAAGCAATATTATCTTTATTTGCAGTTGATATACTATATATGTAGGAAATCCTAGGGAAGCTACAAAAAAGGATAACAGAAGTATTTTTTGAAGGTCTTAGGATACAGGGTCAATATGAAAATTCAGTTGTACTTCTGTATATTAACAACAAACCACCGGAAATTGAAAGTTAAAAATATAATTTACAGTAAAAATAAACAAGAAATAACTAGGGATAATTTTAACAAAATACGTGCAAGAATTTCTCACTCAAAACTACAATATATTATTGAGTGAAAATTAAAAAAACCCTAAGTAAATGGGGAAATATACTGTGCTCAAGGATTGGACAACTCAGTATTATGATATCAATTGTTTCCAAAGCTATTTATAGAGCAAATGTTATTAAAAAAAATCCTAACAAACTCTTTTGTGGAAAAAGTTATTTAGAAAAGCAATAATACTGAAACATCTTAAATAATTTTGACATAAGTGAACAGTTACACTGTCAATCCCAAGACTTGCTCTAGATCCACAAAAATTAAGATGTTATGCTGTTACAGAAAGACAGACACAGATCCATAGGAAACAAAATCAAGTCCTGACACCAGCTACCTCCTCCTGCCTCTGTAGAGGTCTGATGTAGAAGAGAAAGCGGTCTGCTAAGCAAATGGTGGGTGTCCAGCGTGAAAACATGAACCTCAGCCCTAACTTACCACACACTAAAAAAATCTTAAAAACAATAGACCAAAATGAATGAGAAAAATTATAAAGTTTATAGAGGAAAACATGGATAAAGTATGTGTAACTTTGAGTTAAACAAAGATTTTATAGATAGTATGCAAAAAAGAAAAAAACAGCTAAATTTGATTTCAATAAAATTAAAGTTTTTGCTCTTGAAAAAGATAGTTTAATCAGTACTCTGTGTGGGAAAATAAAGAATTGCATGTAAATATGAATGAAAGCAAACTTTTATTTAAAAATTTAAAAGAAAAAAAGGAATGATTTTAAAAAATATATGGGATAACCCACAGAATGGGATTTCTAAGCTACACCCACAATAAAGAAGTCCTACAGTGTTAGGAGAAGGTAATTAATTTCACACGGACAAAAGACTGAGCAGAATAAGATGTTGTTCTACCTAACTGGGGAACTAACAGGAAGAGAATGGCCTCCTGATAGCTTAGCTAACAGTGACAACCAGGACCTGGAGCCACCACAACTAAGGTGTTGTGGGTGCGAATGGAAGATGGTGGAATCACCGCACAAAGGAACTCAGTGACTTCTTAGAAAAGTAAACAAGTGCTTACACATGGCTCGGAAATGAACTGCCAGCAATTGCCTTGGGGGAAGGGAGCCGCCTGTCCCTATGAAGATGTGCACTTGACCATACCTGTCCCTCAGCACTGTCAGCACGCTAGAGCAAGTGCAGCAAGCCCAACACAAGAGGGCTGAGGGGACGTCTAGAGGACAGACCCTGCTCTTTAGGACTAGCCACAGTTCTGTGACTGAAGTGAGTGTGCGTGAGTGTGCAGGGGTCTCAACAGGAGGGGACAAAGGGAAATGCAAACATTCTGCACACAATTGTCAAAAGTGGTGACGTAGGTACGCACATTTGTACAGAACTGTACACTTAAAGCGAGTTCTACCTTACATATGTACAGCTTTATTGTATACATATTCACTTAAATAAAAAAAAGAGGCAGTAATTTTTCTTCTCTAAAGATATTATTCCCTTTGAAACTTCCTCAGTAGGAAACTAGAGGTAAAATGGCTACATGCGGCTGGGCAAGTTATCACTTTGAACAACGTTCCTCGTCAAATTAGAAGACCTTACGCATTCACCTGCAAACATTCATTATACTGTTAGTGGGGCAAGGACTATGCTGGGTGCTAGAGATGAAAAGCTGAAAGGAGACCATCACTGCCCTCAAGGAGTTACCATGGAGCAGAAAAGAAAGACAAGCGAAGACTGGCTAGCACACCTTGGGCTGATTGAGGGTATGAGGAGCATTCTTCCTGATGATGCAGCACCTGAGTTAGGTTCTGAGGTACAAGTTAGAGTTAGGTGAGAAGAGAAGAGAAAGCATTCAGAGCCATGGAGCTATATGACAAAAGGCCAAAGGTCAAAGACCCTTGTAAGGTACATCAGGTAGGCACGGAACATAGGCTTTATCCTCATAAGGCCACAGTTTCGCCCTGACTGAAGAAGTTTAGAAGTTCTACACCAGTTTGAACAGTGGATAGATGGGGTTTCTACACCTACTGGATCTCAACCCTCAAAGGAAAGTAATCATAGAAGTCAGGATCCTTTCTATTGCAAATAAAAATCCTTTGGCTTATGTACAAAAGGGTCCATGGAGCCCACGGGGGTGTGTTCTGGGGATCCACAAAGACCGAGAGCAGCTTTTCTTCTTTCCATGTGATCACATTGTTTCTCACAGTCAGTTTCCCTGAAAGTTTACACCAGAGTTCTCTAACCAAGTGTCCCTAGCTCTCACCGGTCATAGACTCTGAGTTGATCTCAAAGCCATTCAATGGCCGGTGGGACAGCACATGTGACTGCTTGGCCAGCCCAGAGAACTTGGAGGGAGGACTCTGTGAGGCCTGAAGCACACAGAGAAGAGACAAACTGCAAGGAGAAGCCTTAGTGGAAGAAGAGAGACTAGATATTTGTGTTTAGCAAAAATGTATTCCAATTTTGGAACAATTCAAGAAATGCAAAAACATGTAGACAATCTCTTCTTATGACTTGGGCAGCCAGGAAGTTAATGCCAGTTGCCTGAAGAATGCCCACTGTTACAAGTACATAAATGGATGAGCAAAGACACAGAAATAATTCTAATGTGCAGGATGCAGCATATGTTAGCAACAGAGGAGTTTTTCTGAGTGGGGCCTGGAGTATGAGAGTTCCTTATGCAGAGGTAAAATGAACAAAACAGCCAGAAGGGGCTGAAGATCATGCTTTTGCTGAAGTTGAGGTGTATGGGAATGGCTCATCATGGGACAAGGAAATGGAAAGTCCAGACTATCAGGAATTATTCTATGCTTATGAGTGGGGACTTCATCTTTTAAGCAACAAGGAGTCAAACTTTGTAAGCACAGGAATAACTCAAATGGATCAGCATTTAGAGAGCTGTAGAGAGACTTCTTGAGACAAGGAAGAAATGAAGTATGAGGACCGAGCTAAACTTTGGATTAGAGGGCAGAGAAGGTACAAGCTTATTGGTCTCTCTTCTCCCTGTAGAGTGGGAGGAGAGCCCAGGCTGAGCAGGAAGCACTAGACAGTTAAGTCAAACTGGGCATTCCTAGCCAGGAAGCTGCAGTAGCAGAGCATCCTGATCCAAAGATGGTCGTCGGACAGGCTCTTCCAGACACGAAACTGTGGTGCATGGTAGTGGACTGAGTTCAAAAGAACCAAAACAACCTGCCTGAGAAGCTACTTCACTGTGTCTATGACCATTAGCCCTGCACCCCTAGTCTCCCAGAGCCCTGTGGTCACTGGCCGAGCAGAAGGGAAGGGGGCGTTGGTGATTGATCGGAGATGACACAGAGGAATGCTGGTGGAAGAAGGCCAAGTGAGGCGGTCTGAAGAGGCCCTGCTTGGAGTAGGAGGATGACCTGACTGCTCTCTTGGTAGTGCTTCCAGCAGCTAAGGGCAGCTGGATGGGGTTTGCCAGAGGGGCAAAATGAGAAGTTGCCTAGCAGCTTTGGTCTGGGACTAAGAGTCAGAGCCAAGTGCACTGAATGAAAGTATCTATCAGGTAATGATTGGTTTCTCAATAGACATAATCTCAAGCTGTCAGGAAATACAACACACATGCCAATGAAGCGGGCATTCTTCATATGTTACCTTCCAGCTGTTGACATCAAACTGTCACATAAAAATTAATACATATGGAATCGATGTTTTACATTAAAAATCACTTTCAGGTATATTTTCTCATGGGTCCTTTACAATTTTTTAAGGCAAACACAGCAGGAACAATATTTTTTAATCATTTGTCTGGTCTCCCTCTCAATTGCCAATAACAGAGATCTAATTATTTAGGAACATATAGTATGAGCAAAGGTCCCTAATCTAGTGTCTCAGACAACTGCAATGTCTCTAACTAGTGAGTTCACATCATCTTTAAAACGTTTAAAGATGGCCATGTCTATAAACATCTACTAATCATTTAAAACGCAACTTCTTCCTAATATTGTTGCCACTGTGACAAAGGGAGGGGCACTAGGCCTGGAGTCATGTTTGTCCCTCCATGGAGGTGCATCTGGACATGCACAACAGCAAGGCATATGACATGAATGTGCCACTTTCAAAAACAATAACATGTGGGTTTGTTAAGAATCAATCACAGAGGGCTGGAGAGATGGCTCAGTGGTTAAGAGCATTGCCTGCTCTTCCAAAGGTCCTGAGTTCAATTCCCAGCAACCACATGGTGGCTCACAACCATCTGTAAAGAGGTCTGGCGCCCTCTTCTGGCCTTCAGGCATACAGACAGACAGAATATTGTATACATAATAAATAAATTTAAAAAAAAAAGAATCAATCACAGAACAAATTATTTAGTCTTCAGTAAGTCAGGAAACACTGATGAATAAGAGAATTTATATTTTTCAGTAAATTCTTCATATCTAATTTAATTTCACTGCACTTGAATTACTACGTTGAATTTAATAAGATATGCTGTGAAAATAACAGATTCCTAAGATACATTTGATGAGATTTAATAAAATTTCAGATGAGAGTATCAATCTATTAGTTTATTTGAGTTTTATTAAAGTGACCAGCATCTTCAATTTTCATCTAAAATTAGAAGACAATATTTTTTCACATCCTATTATTCCATATACTGAAATGGTATATCTTTAAAGAAATATAAAACAAAACTTTTGCTCATAATGAACACTAAGTAAGACCCAATCCCTTGAATACTGGCTTCAGTTCTAGAATGAACGAACACTTGTGGTGTGTCTGAGCTGTTCTGCTCCAGAAGTCAATCTGGAAGGACTGAGCTTCAGCATAGCCAATGTGATTTTCATCCTTCCTTCTTAGATTCTTCCAAGGAAACAGACTCTGACACCATGCCTCAGCAGTGTCCAGGCTTCTATGTGAAAGACGTAAGGTTAGGGAGTGCAAAGGGAGCCCTCTATACATTTCCGACTTCCAGCGTGAAGAGTAAGATATTATAAGATGGAGGCAGTGGTGCAAAACACCCGCAATCCCAGCACTTGGCAGATGGAGGCAGGAGGATGTGGAATTCGGTCATCCTCTGCTGCACAGTGAGTTTGAGGATAGCCTGGGCTATATAAAACTGTCCCAAAAAGTATGGGATGGAGATATCTGTATGAATTTTCAAATGGAGATATTTAATGGAGAAATAAAGTGGAAGGATCTGAAAATCCAGCATAAATTAAAAGCTAATTAACAGTACCAAAGCACAATTGAATTCCCACTCAAATGCATGATTGTTTCCAAGCCTTTTCATGTCCTATCCCATCATTGGCTTTAGTGGGGAGCAATTGATAAATAGAACTATATCTAGGGAGAAGTTTACAAATCAACAAGAAGCTGTGCTACCTCTTGACGTTTATTATAGTGCCTTTAGTTCTTATTGCATATATGGTACGTGCCCGTTACAAGTAAGGAATCTGTGCATGTAGGATGCTTGGTTCAGTAGAAGAGATGTCTATTGCTTCTCTGTTGACAGTCATCAGCATGCAAGCACAGTATTTGGTGTGTAGGGTTACTGTTTCAAAAAGTGAAAAACTTCTTAGCTTTAACTGAGGAGGGAACATGATCTTTATTGGCTTATATGCAACGTTTAATTTTGGTTGTATGCAGAGTTTGCATAGTTCATGATTAGTTTCTAATGAAAAACTAGATGTGCTGTCAGTGACCTCGACGATCAGGTAACAGTGGCAAACAGAAAAATTTGAAGAAGAGGCATAACTTTTAAAGTAGAAAGGTCAGCCAGAACTGCCTGGAACAAAAAACCAAAAAGAAGTTATTAACACCAAAGTCTGTCAAATCAAGCACCACATAAACCCCTGTTTGGGGTTAGCTGGCGGCGAGCCCCTCTCAGTTCTTCAGCTGGCTTCAGTCTCTCACGGGGCTACACTTCCTTCCTGGAGTCTCTGAACATGTGCACAATCTAAAATGCACATAAGAAGAGAACTGAGCTCAGCCTTGCACCTTCCTCACATCACAGGCAACGGGAGTTTATAGAAGGTCTAGCGTTTCAGCCTGGGTCTATTAATAAACCTCCATTATGAACCCTAGACCCGTTACTCTAGTGTAGAGTGACTGAGTGAAGGGAATCGTGTTAAGATGCGGCTAATATTTACTCAGTTGCACGACACAGAAACATCCTCATCCCTTTAGGCACAACATGTAGGTGCCTATTTGAAGGACAAGACTCACAGCTCTCTGAGAAATAACACATACATCCATGGCAGGCACTATCTGGCTGAACCATATCTTAGGTATAAATTCTACCACTGAAAGAAATCAACTTTAAAGTTTATCAGTGGTTACACCACAGAGAAGACTGACAGCCACCCCCCAATAAGAGTGGACTGCAAATAGCCCATCCCATGGGCTCTTGCCCCATAGACTGGTGCTAGTCTGAGCCTCCCATCTGAGAAGTTTCTTTCTGCAGCAGGCTGCAATTAATGCAGAAACTCATAACTGGTCAAAGTGCTGAGAACAGGTGATTGTCAAGTACTCAGTTCTCCACTAAAGCTCAGGAACATAGTGGAAGAAGGGCAGAAAAAATGCAAGAGGCAGAGGACTGGGTGGGAGGCTGTGAGCCTGTGTCTTCTGGACAAGACAGGGCCACTGCCCCTATGAACTCACACAGTTGTGGTTATCTCCACGAGGCCAACACAAGTTTAAGCCTGTCACAATTCCACTCTGCATGGAGGAGAGGTTCACCAGGTCCTCACAGTCTGGAGGAGTTCCCGATAGTTGATGGCTGATGGAGAAGGGGCTCATTTTCTCAGTGGTGTAGTAGCTGATAAGTTGACCATGCTTCAGTAAATAATCTTATACCCAAGCTCACGAAAGCAACCCTAATTAAACCCCAAAGATCACACATACACGGTGGGGGAGGGGAGTAAGAAGCATGGGTATTGATTAATGGGAAAGAGGGTTTTATCAAGAGACAGAGAGGGATGAGACAAGGTAACAATAGTGGTTGAAATTGACCTCAATTCACTACATACTTATATGAAAGTGATTGTCAAGGGGAAAAAAAGGCACAAACAGAAAATATGGTGGAGTATCAGTAAGAATCATGACTGACTTCTGAAATGGACAAAAATACACAGATGACAGGAAAGAAAGGAAGGAGAGAAGAAAACCAGCTTTAAATCGTTAATTCACCACTGAAAAGAACCCAAAGTTTGGATGGTGAGAACTTCCTTCAAACACATACTATTTAATTCTTTCAGTTAGTGTTCTTGTTTGTAACACATGGGCAAAGAAAGTGTACTATAGGTTCCCATTAAAACCACTAGGTCTTTGGTTTTCCATAACGGTTATAATGGTTTCCTGAAAGAATCTTGTTTATGACCCCTCATAAGAAGGTTGTTTTCAAGTGATTAGGGAAATTTGAGCACTTAATAATACTTAACTCAGAATTTATAGGTTTTACCCGAGTTACAAAATTCAGCTACAAGAAGTGCATGTCCTGTGCACCAGACACTAGAGCGATGGCCTGGCGGCCTCTCGGGAGCTATTTCCATCCCATGGCAGTGAAACTTATCCTTACTTCAGCTGCAGCCAGTGATGTCACCTCCATCAGGTTCACTGCTCGGAAAGCAAACACGGCAGCTGCCAGCACTGGAAAAGAATGCACACTATTTCAACTGCTGGCCTCCTCAGCAGCCCGGACACACATGCTCTGCCCACAGCCACCACACAAAGCAGAAGGAGCGTGCAGTGCAGCTGTTCCCCTGCCCTCTGCCCTAAGGAGCCGTCGTAAGTGGGACATCTATTCTAGAGAACAGCGCCAAGCCACTTCATGGAGTGAGTCCCATAGTTTGGGGGAAGGAAAATTGGGTGGTCTCAAAAAGTAATTTATAAACAAACGATTTCCTTCACATCAGCAACTAGCACCGTAACTGTTGAAGTGAATGGCGCTCTAAGGGTGGTCTTTCAAGTCAGTTCATTTCGACAGATATTTCTAGTATATGAAATTGAGAAGCCTCAGAAAGTCACATGAAGTTAAAATTTAAAAACTCGTGTGTTTGAGGGAGGTGTCCCAATATAAACATGGGTGTAAAACTGTTTAAAAGTGACTTATAATATCTTATTATATTTATATCTTTATGTACTCATTATTGACTTTCATAACGCTATCTAAATGGCTAGTTCTACACAGAGGGCTGTTGTAAGGCTAATCTTAGTATTTACTTTGTTAGCTACAAGAAAAATAAGTTGAAAATTCAAAAGCATATAGACAATTTGAATTTAGTAACAGACATTAAGTAGAAACATTGGGACCATCTGTTTCTGTTAACAAGCACGCACTCTATCAATATAGGAGTGACCACGAAACTCCCAGCCAGTGAGGACCCATTTACCAGACAGGCAACCCTGGTGAGAAAATAGAATTGCCCCTGACTCTACCATTTTTCCCCATGGCCTTAGCTGGTAGTGCACTCCCTACCCTTCAAGCACTGAAGCGGGAGGTAAACATGATTTGGAAGGCTGGTTCTCGGGTTCATTGCATAGCCAATACAAACCTTTTTATACGATTTTACTATGAGAAAAACCATGGCAGTTAATTTTCATGCCATCCACTGAGAATTAAGTACTATTATCTGGTTCATTTTGCTAGTGTAGGAACTGAGGCGTGGTGAGCTGGCTGTCCTTTCTGGTCACAGGGAGAAACAGAGCTGATACTTAAGCCTGGTTCTAAGTTCTGTGCATGTGACCCTTGCATGATTTCCCTATTGAGTTCAAAGGCAAGGAGTAGGACTCGGCCCTGACATCAGAGACTGTGCTCTCTTAGGGAGGGTCAGCATTGCTGTGCCTCAGAAGACTCCAGACATGGCCTGTGGTGGTCCAGGGCCCTGACAGGAAGGCTGTGCTTGAGGAGTGGAATCAGGCTCTTGCTGTCCAGGTCTCCAACTCACCCCATGAAAGGAGCAGAGCAAGCAGGGGAGCTCAGGCATTTTGAGTGCAGATGAGAGACTTTTGGGATGTCTGGCAAGAGCATTATAATGAGACAGAAAAGAAAACCCTGCAGAAAACTCGGGGATAATCTGAAGATAAATTAAAATGAATCAGCGGGAACTATTAAACATGAAAAAGGGATTAAGAGATCTGGATCAAAGGGCGTTCTTTCTCTTTAGCTGAAAAGAGTTAAAAAGGAATGTAAAGTCATGGAACATGATGTTTACAAGAGTATTAAATCCATTTCTGTAGGCTAACAATTGTTTACTGCTTCCCACTATCTAGAATCATTTTTGGACAGTGGAAACACTTTAGAGGCTAAGAAATATGACTCCCACTTTCATTTCTGTATATAGTTGAGCAGCTGTGAAAGTTTGACAGGATGTCCAAATATTTGCTGCAGCAGGAAAGAGTTCTAGATGGTGGCCAGCTGTGTGTCCGAAGGTAGAGAAGTCCACTGATTGAACTCAGCATCCAAATGGGAGCACAAAGCCTTTATTTATCTTGGTGTCACATCACACAAGTGCCTTTCTGTTTGCTTCATGTTGAGCTTGTCCAGCCCCTCTGTACGGAACAGTTTGCCATGGAGAGAGGAGCTATACTTTGGGGCATCCTTAACTGAAGCCATGCTGCATATTAAATGTGGAAACGGCTGTGTTTCACTGTGGGTTTTCACAACTATTCTCACTACTTTAATCTTAATAAACTCCATCATGACATCAAGATGCCTCCGTCTTCAGCTCTTCTTTAGTGGTCTGCCAGTCATAATTAAGGACAGATATATTTATGAAAAGATTTCTTAAGACTCTATAATAACATATTTGATGTTAAAAGGTGGCTCTTAAATACCTGTATCAAAACTATATGACATAATTGATAGAAATCTGTGTAAATCTTCATGAAGTGATCTATTATTATAGACTTTTCCATGAATTCCAAGGTTGGGAGCTCCAACGCTCCAGTTTTATCTGTAGATGTTCTAAAAATCTTGTAAGCTTTGAGAGCATTCAGGCAAGTGCGTGGATGCAATATATGGATCAGTTTCTATCTCTTTGCCAGTCCGGTTTTAATTCATGCACTGAACTAATTCATGCATGAACTAACAGAGTACCTGGTAAAAAGCAAACCCAGTATTCCACATACTTCTCTCTTCTCTCTCCCTTTCTCTAAGCTAAGGCAGTGATGAGGGACAAAACCGGAGACCTGGAATCTGAAGAGTCCTTGAAAGTTTTCTAAATCAAAGCTTTCTTCACGGGAAAACATTTCCACTTTCCAGGTGGCAAAGCTCATGCTACTCAGTTACTCTCCGAGAAAGCATTTCTCATACTGTGCTCACCCACTATCTTCTCTGGAATGACCAGAAAATGAGGAGTATGCTCTTTAAAGTTCGGGCATACCCAAAGAGAGTAGCCTGGTGAAGTCTAAAATCCAGACATTTGTGAAATGGTAGCAGAAAACCAGACTGCTTAGTCTGGAAAATAGAAGACTCCAGGAAAGATGGGGGATTGAAAGCAGAAAAAACATGAGAGCATCTTGGTTGAAAAGGGGCATATTTGGAGCTGTAGAGATGACTCAATGGTTAAGAGCACTTGCTGCTCTTTAATATAACCTGAGATCAGTCCCGAACACCCAAGCAGAGTGGCTCACAACTGCCTGCAATTCTAGCTTTGTGAGATTAGATGCCCTCTTCTGGTGTCTGTGGGTACCCCCCCACACACACAAATAATGTCTTCAAAAAGAAAAAAAAGGGACACTTTAAATTTTAAGTTATGTTATTCATTTTGTGTGTGTGTTCACATATGTATGTGTGTGGGTGTGAGTGCCACAGTGTATATATGGAAGCCGTGCTATGTGTGTAAAGGTCAGAAGACAGCTAGTGGTTCTCTCCTTCTACCATGTAGGTCTGGGGGATTTAACTTAGGTTGTCAGACTTGGCAGTAGGTACCTTTACCCACTGAGCCATCTCAAAGGCCCTATAAGGGGCACATGTTAGCCATAACCGTAAACAAATGGGTCCTCTGAAAGGGCAGGATTACCTAGCACTTAAGCATAGAACAGAGGATAAGGGTGCTTGGTCAGAAATGTCTGAAAAGCTATAGGATGCTCTCTGACATTCCTGCATTCCTAGATGATCTGCCACTGTCCTTTAGCTAAAATGATGAGGGTAGACCGTTCTTCCCTAACAAGTTTATATGAGAGTTAAGAAAAATGACAGAAGGATGCTGGGAGTTGTTAAAGCATCAATCAATGTCAGGCTGACTGCACCTGAGGTGACATTTATCTTCATGTACTTTATAGTTATTCTAATTTCACCTTTCCAAATGTCACCCAAATACTAAGAGACTCTGGCATTCCAGAAAATGTTAATATGGTGCCCAGAGAATATTCTTGACACATTATTTTTCTTATTGCTACAATATCTCAGAGAGGTGATTTTAATAGTAAAGGCAGGAAGCAAACAAAACATGGCCAGGTTTTCAGTACCCCATATATTGTTGCAAAAATATCCTAGTTGTTACTTGAATTTTCTAGTAATCCTAGTAACAAAGAACTGAGTCAGCTGTGCACTAGGGTGCAGACCACATAAGGAATCTGTACTGAGTCAGCTGTGCACTAGGGTGCAGACCACATAAGGAATCTGTATGTGGAACGTCGCAGTCTGATTGGTTTACATCTGTTGTATAAACTGCTTAATCATTAGCAATGGATGAATCTATGGCTTCCTTGAGCAAAAGAAGAAGTGCCTCTCCCCACTTTTTAAAGAGAGAATACCTAAGAGAAGAAATTTTGGCACCAGGGTAGAAGCCAGAGACTACGAGCAAAAATGAAAAGGTTTGGAATGTAGAATAAACTGCAGTCCAGAAGAGGCATGCCTTGAGATATGCAGGGGGCTCAGCCTCTGAGAAGGGGCACGGGACAGAATGTTCTGAAGCTGGGGATTAGAGCATAAGGCAAGTATATCTGCTGCACAAACCCCACAGAGACCAGGACTCAAATGGAGTAGGGAAGTTAGGTGGGTGCATCAGAGCGCAGAACTGCAGAACCTGTCTTCTAGGCCTGCTCAAGCTATTAAATGTTCAGTGATGAACGCAGACCCTTCCCTAATGACGGTAGGAAAGGGGCTTCATGTAGAAACAGCATGGGTTGCACAAACAAGCATTCACTCTTACCAGCAAGAATTTCCAGAGAGTTGTATCCTAGGATTCTATCCCACAAAAGCAAGAGTTGATCTGTAGCTAAGTATCCAGAAAAAGCTCGAACCATCCACTTAAATGATATACGAAGTCTGTGGGCAAGAAAATTAAGAATTAATTGTGCCGTTAGATCCTCTCCTCAGAAAAGGCAATATTAGAAGAATCAAACCAATTCTGTTTTTATTATAAATATTTCAAGACTCTTTATTTCCTAAAAGCTGAAAAAGGTCACTGGCAAGCAGATGGGTCTTCAATCTGAGGTCCCTGAACTACTAAGAGGAGGGACTGTGTACGATGGAGTTCATGTTTATAAACATCTTACACTGATCAACAGTTGTATCTTAATTTTTGGCAAGCCATGACATTTTAGATGGTTGTTCTGAATACTTTTAAAAAGATATTCGCTGCTTTTATATTTTTCAGCTCAGTAAGTTCTACCTGCACATCTCAGCCAAACTGCTACACGAGGTGAATAAAATAAAGAAAAGCAACAAGTAGGAAACATGGAAGAAAAGTGGTTTAAAGCAATAAATACCTTAGGATTCTTATTTCAAACCCTTCATTTAAATGAGGAAGTCATAAAAACAAATTCAATTGAATTTATTTTGCTACAAAAAGTTCAAAGATATAAGAGATCCCACTTTTATAAATCATTTATTTATATTACAATAACAGTTTTTCCCCAGAATCACAAAATGAGCCCTTTGGTTTTACCGTCATAAAAGATAAACAAACCTCTCACATTTCTGTATTGTCTATGAGCATCTAAAAGTCACTTGACTGTACCTGAGAGGTCACAGTCAAATTCTTTGTGGAATTATTCTAGAGTTTAATATGATTAAGTATTGGTCAGTGGTATTTATAAATTAAGCCTTTTGATTGGTTTAAAATCAAACAAAAACTTTGTCCATAAATATTTTAATATTGAGAAATACATCTAAATAATTATATTAAATCATTTTCATTTTACTCAAACTCTCAGTTTTTTGGGGAAGAAACAGTATTTCTCTTCATATAGATAACACAACAATGACTTTAAAAGCACAAACTCGTTGGGGGTAATTTAGCATAGCAGAATCTACCCTTGCAGGTATACAGTTCCATGAGTTTTATATGAAGAATGACAAGATGAAAATTGTAGAATTGAATAGTATAATAATTATTTGAAAAAGATGAAACATAATAATACAACCTCCAAGTTACTGAATAAGTCTGATAGACTTAAATGAGCAAGGAAAAACTCGGATGAGCATATATCCATAGAAATATGATCTAGTCTCTAGTCTCAACCACAGAAAAAAAATCATTGGAAAATCAAGCAACAAAAATTAAAAGAGACACATAAATAAAAAGTTTCAAGCACCTCGGTGGGGTGGGAGAGCAAAATTGGAAGCATGGACATGATATCACTGCAACCCAGAAGAGGAGCAGAGTAAGTGTGATGCACAAACACACTGGGAGATGGCAGCTAACCAAAAAGTCCCACAGTATGACAACAGATATAAATTCATACGATGATCAACAGACTCCAACAGCATAAACTCAGAAAAATCCAAGTCTAGATATATTGCAATCAAGTTGCTGAAAGGTAAAGATTTGAGTTTTGATAGCAACCAAAGAAAGAAGGATTAAAATAATCCTTCTTGAAATGTTCAGTAGAATTTCAAGCTGTTCAGACACCCAAGCTTAGAATTTTTTTAAAAGTGGAATATAAACATTTACTAATAAAATGCTATGGAACAGGAGGCACCTACCTGTGGAGGCCCAAAAATGTGAGCCTGTTTCCACCTTGTCTGAAGGTCAGAGAGTCTGAGGATGCACAAAATTGTTGACAACAACCAGGGCTACAGATCCTGACCCAGGATGTGGTTACTTGGTTCTTTTGACTTTGAGATGGCCCACACGGGGAGATCCACTCCACCCTGACTAATGGCCAGGACGTGCAAGAATACTTCTGCTCCTTCCTTTGAAACAGGAGGTTTGACCTTGGGAGTGGCTGTATTTAGGATATTTGGTCTAGGGTGGGTTCACTGCCTAAACAACAGAATGTTAATGACTTGATATCTCAAGGTATTGAAGCGAAGAACTGTTCAAGTTGTCCTTTGTATTGTATTAAAGAAGTCGTTTGTTGCCTTCTTCCCCCTTTTGTATTGGGGTATAAAAGTGTATGGAAAATTAAATGCAGGGATTTCAGTATTCACTGAATCTCCCTCTGGACACTGTCCTACATCTCTGTTATATTATTTTCACTTGCATCTTTACTCTCTTTACTATTTTTCTGATTCCCATACCCCTACCCTGGTAAGTAGTATTTTCGTTGAAGCTGGTCACCAACACCTAACAAAGATCATTCATCAACAGGGTAACTTAAAAATGAATGGTGTGAATAAACTGGAATAAAAACAGGTCAGTTTTTTTTAAAGTAGCCAGAAGTAAATGAAAAGAAAGAGCATCGGAAACAGAAAATTCTAGAAAGATAGATTTCAATAAAATAATATCAATTATGTTAAGTAATAAGTGGAATAAACATACCAGTTAGAAGACAGATTACTATATGGGAAGAATCAACTATACTTTGATAAGAAATGCACTTGAAAATTAAAAGCATTGGTAATTGATATATTAAGTTAAAAATAGAAAACACCATGCAATGAAAAGAAAGCTACCATGGCTATACTGGTATCTAGTATAATAGATTTATGGTCAATAATTAAGGACAATAATTGGGCCAAATCTCCTTAAAACATATATTTAAATGATATATAATAATGAAGGAAAAAGACATCTACAATCGTATAGAGACTAATATTGCTCAATAATTAAGAACAAAAGAAAACTGACAAAGAGCTGAATAAAAGTAGAAAGAAGGCATTCCAACATGTGTTAAATTTATTGACATTTATAGACTTATGCCAAGTATTTATGGGACACAAATCCTGTGTGTGTGTGTGTGTGTGTGTGTGTGTGTGTGTGTCTGTATGTGTGTGATGGTTACATAACAAGTTTTAGGAGCTAGCTCTTGTCTTTCATTCTGAGGCAGGGTCTCAGGCTGTTTCTCAATGCTGTGCTGTATACTTCAGCTGAGTGGCTTGTCTGAAGATGTCTGGTACAGCCTTCTGTTTCTGCCTCCCATGCTGCCACAGCAGTGCTGGGATTGCAGATGTAAGCTATCACATTCAGCTTTTTATGTAGGTCCTGGGGCTGGGAGGTTGGGTTGTCAGGCTTGTATATCAAATATTTTTAACACAGGACCATTTCCTTGCTCCAAGAACATAAATTCTTTTCAGTGGATATGCAACATTTGTCTTGATTGATAATATTTAAGTCAAAAATAAATCTAAAAAAATTCAAAGCTCTGAAGTAATATGAAATGTGCTGACTAACAACAGACTATAAATAGATTGCAATAGTGGAAAAAAACTCCAACATTTCCAATATTTGGAAAGTAATATCACATTAAATAATATCACATTAAAAAATTATGGGATAGGAATTAAGGCAGGGTGTCTCATTGTCCTGGCTGTCCTGGAACTCACTATGTAGATCAGGTTGGCCTCAAACTCATAGAAATCTTTCTACCTCTGCCTCCCAAGTACTGGAATTAAAGGAATATGCCACCATACCCAGCTCAGTTTTGAATTATTTAATAAAATGTTTTTCATATCCTTCTCCCTCCCTATCCACATAACTCCTGTTCTTTTGCTGTCTTAAAAACCCCATCAAACCCCAAACCAAAATGTTTAGGTGGGGCTTCACTCCAGCCCCCGGCATCCATTCTAAAATGTTTGAGCGGAACTTTCTATTCCAAGGCCCCTCCCCTGGGCGTTGCCACACTCCACACTCCACCTCTGAAAAAGCCTACCAAACGGTGATCTCTCCCCAGGGAAGGTCAAGATCACTCCCACAGGCTATTTAAACTGCCCCCAGAGAAAAAGTATGTGGTCCTTCCGGTCCCCCCCCACACCCCATGTTTTCCTGGAGGGCCACCAGAGAGGGCATCCATTAACATGGTCTGATTTGGATTATTGCATCGGTTGGGCGGTTTGTCGGGCCATAAAAACTTTATACAGACACACACAAAAAAAGACAAAACAACTACAAAACTCACAAAACAACAATAAAACCCATAGGGTCTGTTTTGGGTTGGTCAACTACTTCCGGGCATGAAGCCCATCTTGAAGTGCCATTACACTGAAGAAGACCGATTTTCCCTTTCAGCAGGTATCAACTGTAAATAGCTTCTTGGTTAGAGGTAGGACTTTGGGCCCTCTTCCCCTTCTCTTGTACATGCTGTCAACAGTCACTGTGAGTTCATATGTGTATCAGCCATGTAGTATCTGGAAGACACTGTTTCCTTGGCTATTATAATATTTCCACCTCCTTTTCACATAGCTCCCTGAACCTTGATGAAGACATCCCAGTAATGGCTGAGTGCTCCAGAGCATCTCATTCTTAGAACATTGTTCAATTGTGGGTCTCTGTGTTAACTGCCATTTCCTGTAAGAAGCTTCTCTGATGAGAGATGAGGGATGCACTGATTTATGGGGATATCAATATATCATTAGGAATCATTTAATTGCTACATTCATTTAGTAGAATAATAGTAGTAAGTTTTCTCTAGGGACTATTATCTATCTAGTTCCTAGACTTGTTAACAGTTAGTTAGGTCTATCTCTGGTTCTTGGAGCTGCTAGCAGTTTCAGGTATGGACTATATCTCATGGAGTAGGCCTTAAGTTCAATAAGAATGGGTTGGTTACTCCTATAACATTTGTGCCACTATTGTACCAGTGGGTATATCTCTCAGAGTTCATAGCTGGGTGAGACTGATGATTATTTGTGTATAGTACTTTCTAGCAATATGAAAGCTGGTCAGTAAGGGTCTAATAGGAGCGTGAATGATTTCTCCTTAAACATTACTGTTTTTAATATACTTGATGTTCAAATAGGAAATCACAAAGGAAAATCAAACCTTTCTAATTGAATGAGATGATAACATATAAAAGTTTACTGGGATGAGGTAAAATTGACTCTGAGAGAAATCTTTAACAATAATGCTTGTATCGAGAAGGAGAGGTACCATAAATAAGAGTAAAATAAACCCAAAGAAAGTATAAAGGTAAAAAGAATGAAAGAGTAGAAATGAGAGTCACTGAAACTGTAAAACAAGAGAAAACTTAACAGGACATCAGGACATAAAATTCATTCTTTCAAAGATGGCTAAAGTTAATAAATCCCCAGGCAGAATAATCAACAAAAGGAGGCAGAGCAGGGATGCACTGAGCCCTATCCCCAGGACCAACTCCAACAAGAGAACTGACTGATGCAAATTGTCCTCTGATCTCCACAAGCGTGTGTGTGTGTGTGTGTGTGTGTGTGTGTGTGTGTGTGTGAGAGAGAGAGAGAGAGAGAGAGAGAGAGAATATACATTGTTTTCTACCTATCTGCTGGACTTTTCATACTTCCTCCTGTTGAAGAATTTTAAGAAACTAAAATCTAAATGTAGAATTCTTGTAGTGATTTAAAATGTGTACGAAGACTAGAAACAACTACCCACACTTTATTAGAAAACAACTACCCACACTTTATTTTCTAGCAATGAACTAAACACCTTCAACCCAATAAAGAAAAAGCCCAGTTATATCCAACTTTTAATCTCCCAACAGTGAACAGAGGTCAGTGAGTGACCCTTTAAAGAGCTCAATACAAACTATTTTTGCCACATTCCTGTTTTACAGTCTCATTTAAGAATACAATACTTTTCAAAAGAGGCCACAAAAGAGTATCAATTCTGAATTATCAAAGGACAATAAGAAATATTGTTTCTTAAATAACACTTGAAACCTTTTTCACATCCAATCGGTATCGGAGAAATGCCTTCTATGTCTGTATCTTGTCTATTCTCACAGAACCTGGAAACAATTCCATAAGGTCATACTTCTCTTCACTTTTAAGATAAAGAAATCGAGATATCTTGATTTAAATATAATTATGAATTTATAGCTCACATAACTTTACCTGGATGCACAGCTTAACAGAAACAGAATTTGCAGCTGGGTTGTATTATCTACTAAGGCAGGCACTGGCTGTAGATTTATGTATGAAGAAGACAAAAACCACACTTTGTTGCCATTAAGTCCTGAGGCCTTAAAGAGTTAGTGTCTTTTCTTCACACAAACCAACCTTAACAGTGTGTGAGGCTGCTTAGAGAGGACAGAACAAAGCTCTCATCTAGATGAAAGTATTTAAAAGGAGACAGAGCCATTTACTGAGGTCAGAGCTAATCCACATATTCACCAATATTCACCTACTACTCAAACTGAGATCAGTGAAGCAAATGCGAAGTTCTATAAGAGAAAACACAGGACAACTGCTGGGAGGGGTTTGGTCTGTCCCTTTAGTGAAGCCAGCAAACTTTAACCTTATAAAGCGCACAGTTGGGCTCTGATAACTCTAGTCCACACTTCCCAGGCTCTATTTGTTTCCATAAATGTTTTCATTGTGAACTGAAGTTAGGTAAATTTGGTGGTCCTTCTACAAGACACAGAACTCAATAGGATCCCAGTCATTCTTCTCAGCACATTGTTTTTTCCAGTGCTGGACCTAAACCCAGAGGCTCGTACATGCTGGACAAGTACTTTCCCACCGAGCTGCGTACCCAGCCCTCTACCAAGAACCCAATTGTTTCTTCTTTCGCAATACAGATGCACTTAATGACTGGTACTTTTGGGGGGGGGGGGAATTGTCGCCGTACAGTCTGTACTGTGGCTGTGTGTGCAGGCAAAGAGCAAGAGTGCTGTTTCCAGCTTCACCGTGGGAAAGCATTGTGAAGAGGCAGTGAAGCAATAAAAATACTCACGGCTGAGCTCCGATTTCTCTCAGGTGGTAAAAGAGTTGGGGAAGATAGGTTTGAAGAAGAGTTTCAAACAGCAGACAGAGCGACACAATACCCTGCATCCAACAATGAATCAAAAGAGAAATCGTTTAGTCTTTTAAATACGAACTATGGTAAAACATCATTCAAAAAGACAATGCATATTAATATGCTTTGTGAATCAAAACAAGAACACACCAATGGATCTTTGACACCAGATTTAACAGTAAATTTTTATGTTGTCATAAATATGCGTTGTTGACCTGCTAAGCAGTCTCTTTTTAAACACAACAGCCCCACCCCGCCATGGCTGGACCACTCAAGGCAAACATAAGCATTCTTTACAGAAAGCCTGCCACTTGTGAGCCACACAGCATCACTGAGGTCTAGCAAAAGTAGTTTTCTGTGTATGTGCTCCAGTTCCCAGGCATCTCCTGGTGCTTTTGCTCTCCCCGTCCCTCTTTCCCCATGTGTGTTTGTGCATCCAGCTCCCCCTTTTGGAAAACACTGCCTGCTTTTCTCACTTCTTTGAATCACACCAAGTTATCAAACAAAAACTATCTAATCATTATCAAACAAAAAATATAATTATTATCAAATAAAAAATCTAATCATCATCAAATAAAAATCCAATGATTATCAAATAAAAAATATAATCATTATCAAACAAAAATATCTGGTTACTAAGAATAAAAGCTTTGCTTGTTTTGTAAATTTACTTTTTAAAAAGGGGCATTATTTGTAAAGTAGAAGTAACCAATTTAAGCAAGTTATTTTGTTTTGTGTTTAAGTGTTTTTATTCCTTAGCAACTCTAACTAAGTTTTTCTGGGACTCAGCAATCCTCAGGTTGCTCTTTGTAAGGAAGTTTTCACCCTCTTTTTGAGTTTCTAAACTATCATGGTTTTAAATAGTTGCAGTCTGGCTATAATCCCGAACATGAGATGAGTGTCAGTCAATTCCCCAGAGAAAGAAGGAAAGGGGTGGGACTAGAAGGTGTGGCTGGGTATTGTCCAGATTGTTTTTTCAAAACTCTGAGGCATAAAATGTGTATGGGAGTCTGTATGAGCATGTTTCTGTGTGCTTGTTTGTATGCTTGTGTATGTATACATGTGTATACACACTGTGAGTGTGGATGTGTGTGTGTGGCTACAAGACTATGATCCTGACAATGATATGAGAAAGGAGAACTATTAATAATCATTTTTCTGTTTATTCTAGGTTAAATAGAAATAGAAGATAACAACTAAACCCAATTCTCTTCAAGAGAGTCTCAAGATGATTTGTTAGCTTATCTGTGACATTCTAGAATTTTCTTAGTTGCCAGCTTTCACTGACAATGCAGGAGGGCAAACTGAAGACAAAGAAAGTGGAGCAGGGGCACACAGTTGGAAATGGAAGGATAAAACCCAGCTGTTCAATTTAGTAGAAAGAACAGTCTTCACTGGGCAGTTTGGCCAGCCTGCCCTGCCTTCCAGCGACAGGTTCTTCCAGAGAGCTAAGTAAGCTACCCTCAGGAAGACCAAGACCACAGCGGGGAAAGCTGAAAGCAAAGTAAAGGCTGCCTTGGCCAGAGCTCATAGGCAAAAAAAGATAGGACAAAGAAGTAAAAAATAGACTTAACTGCTGTTAATATAGGAGCTGAATAAATACAAAGAAAATATGTAGCAAAATAACTGATCATTGGCCACAAGACAAATAATGCTCAATTTTCATTTGGAAAGATGAAGTGATAATAACTATAGCAATAATGAAAACAAGAAAGTGGCTATTTATATGCAGAGCGCCCATTCAGTTCTCACCTGCATGCTCTGCCCTGTAAACTTCCCACAGCAGCAGAGACGGCCTCATCAACCTCCCTTCTCAGACCCGGTGTCAACAAAGGAGGGAGGCATCTTTGTAACGGATGAGAATCTAGACAGCCCCCCCCCCCCCTTTTTAAACACAGAAAGCTAAAAATCTAGTTAATAAGAGATGTTTTCCTCGCTACTCTGCAAAATATTTAAACATCACTTTCTTCTCTCTCATTGATTCTAGAAATACATTATTTGAAACCATAAATTAAATTTCTTTGCTGTGTAATTTGAGCAGGAGACCACCCCATGGCACATCTTCAGGGAAAGAACAGTTTTAGAGTCTGAGTTGATCCAACTTATGAACTTACAGAAGGATGAGAGGAGATGGAGTGGAGTCTGAAGAAAAAGCGGATGTACATCTCACGGAATATCTGGTACAATTTGTACGGTTCATGATACAGAAAACACAGCGGCGCGACTGGAAGAGAAAGTAAGTGATAACACTGCATGGCTACAGCGGTTCGGTAAGTTCACGAAATGCAAAGCACAAAACAAGAGAGTATAATGTCCACAACCACAGCAGAGTCTGCTGGTCATGCACAAAACAAGAGAGTATAGTGTCCACAACCACAGCAGAGTCTGCTGGTCATGCACAAAACAAGAGAGTATAATGTCCACAACCACAGCAGAGTCTGCTGGTCATGCACAAATTGTGTTTTAATGTTGCAAGTTCAAATAACTGTTAAATGTCATACATGTACAGATTATAAATGGTTAGAATCCCAACCTATCATCTGGCTGAGACCGAAGTGATAAGCTATATAAGCAGACAGATGAATTAGCAGGGAAGCACCATCCGTTGCTTACCCCTTTGCTGAGACGGGTGCCATAGCCCGTGCTGGCCTTTACCCCGAGCTCCCTCTGCCCCCCAGCCTCCCGAGTAGAAGTTCCTCATTCTTCTTTTCAGTCATCATAACAACTTATTCATTAGAAGAATTGTTATCTGAGATTTGCAAATGAAGAAACTGAGGCACAAGAGCTGAGATATTTATCCAAGGCTACAACACAGACTTGTTTCAGTGTCTGTGTTTTTTATCAAAAAGTTATGTTACACCAGCTTTTTGTTCCTGTGTCCTTGGTGATTTTCAGAAATGAAGAGCCCACCCCATCGCACATCTTAAATGTGACACCTACACTTTTCTCTCTAAATCAGAGCTTCTACAAAAAACGTAATTTTCTGCACCTTTGTTGTTAGCACATAGGTAGAAAATTTACCTGTGCATTGACTGTGTTTCTCAACCTTAGTAAATTCGTTTATTAATCCTCACAGATTATCTGATTATTCCTTTGGATTTTCTATGCACATAATCACGATATCTGATAAGAAGGGAAGTTTTATTTTCTTTCCATTATTTGCTTATTTATTCCCTTATTTATCTTGTTTTGCTTCATTGGCTATGGCCTTCAAAGGACTATACTAAACAAGCTGTACCAAGGGGGTATCTTTATCAGTTTAGAGACAAAACTTTTAATGTTGCTAAGTATAATATTTGCTATATATTCAGGTATTATTGACCAGAATAAAGGCATTCCCTCCTATTCTTAGATTTAGATAAGAGTTCTTATCATAAATATTTTGCTTATTAGTATAAATTATTCATAATGAATTCCATCATTGCATTTTCATATATGTATATAATGCATTTTTATCAAATTTACTACCAGTTACCCTTGTGACTTTTTTCTGCACTAGACAGTGGTAACCGCAGATGCTCACGGCTGCTCAGAAGGATGGAAACGAGTGACAGTTGACTGCCCAGCCATGAATGGGATATCTGTTACCCCCTTCAAGTTTCTAGAAACATCATGGAAGAACGGGTAGAAAGAATGTAAAAGCGGAGGAGCAGGAAGCAGTGGGAAAGTAAAGACGATCACTGACTTCTTCACATCACAAGGTCATTGCATTCTTCAGTTTAGAGTGGCTATGCTTGCCTACATAAGATGCATATGATCAACATCTGATTGTAGAGTGGGGACCATTTCATCAGGTCCTGACCCTTCCTGAGGATTTATATTCGTTTAATATAGAGTGGGAGACATAGTCCATTTTCTTTAGTGACGTAGCCAACTGGTAACACGCCCATACTTTTGTAGAGAACTCTTCAACAAAAAGAACAATGTGGAAGGATTAGCATTCCAGACCTCAAGGTACATTACAGAGCCACGGTAATGTGAGCAATATGCTACTGGCACAAAAACAAACATGTAGCTGGAACGAGGAGATCCTTCTCATTCTTCCATTTCATAGTTTAAGAACTCTCTGTTCAGATTCCTAGCCAATTTTTTAAAATATGTCTTTGGTTGTTTGTTTTTTGATTATGCTTTTTAGTTCTTCATATAGTCTGGATATTAATCTTCTGTCAGATGTACTTTGGCAAAATTGTCTCCCATTCTGTTGACTTCCTCTTCATTTGATTGTGAAGTGATTGAAGAAAAGCAATTGAACAAAACATAACACCGAAATACGAGTACACGTAACTACAGTCAGCTGATATTTGACAAAGATGCCAAACACATACATTGGATTAAACACAGCATCTTTAACAAATGATGCCAGGAAAACTGGCTGGTTACATGTAAAGAGCAGGAGTGAAGAGGCCCCAGTTGGTTATCCAATCCCAAGTGGTCAGTCCTAAAATCATATACATACAAATAACATTCTATAGACTGAGCAGGCTGTACTTATGTAACAACAATTAAAGAAAATAAGGTCAGGGCTGGAGAGATGGCTCAGAGGTTAAGAACACTGACTGTTCTTCCAGAGGTCCTGAGTTCTATTCCCAGCAACCACATGGTAGCTCACAGCCATCTGTAATGAGATCTGGTGCCCTCTTCTGGCCTGTAGGCAGACATGGAAACTAACACTGTATACATAATAAATAAACAAACAAATAAATAAATATTTAAAAAAAGAAAAGAAGGTCACAAATTTGAGAAAGAGCAAGGTGTGTATGAGGGTGGTCATAGGAGGGACTGAAGGAAGGAGAAGAGTGAGGAAATGGTAGAATTATATTTTAATTTAAAAAAAATAAAAATGTGTATGCATGTTTGTGTGCATACATACAGATGTGTGCAAGTCCAGGCATGTGAAGCCCAGAGGTCAATGTTGCGTGTCTTCCTTTATCACTTCCCACATCACTTGGTGGGTACAAAGTGATGTACATCAGCTATAGAGTGTACAAAGTGGCTAGTCTGGCTGGCCAGCAAGTTTCAAAGATCTACCTGTCTTTCATCTCCCCCCAGCCCAGTGCTAGGTTAGAGATGAGTGCCATCATGCCCAGCTGCTACATGGCTGCTGAGGGTCAGACCCTGACCACCGCCATACTTTGTGGCAGGCACTTTACTGACTGTGCCATCTCGCCAGTCCTCAAGAACTTTAATTTTGGAAGTTAAGTCAGTAAAACATAAGATAACTTCTCAGTATTTTTAATAATTCATATTGAAAATGCAAATTTTGAATAATGTCTTCCTACTACGGGTTGTATTAAATATTTTATGGTATCAGAGTCACTATGAGACAGAAGATGACCTTGACCTCCTCCTCCTCCTCCCTCTACCCTGTGTGCTGAGATTATAGCTGTGCACCACCACGTCTGTTTTGTCGCCATTGTTTTTGTGGTGCTGGAGACTCCTGCATGCTAGGTAAGCTCTCCACCAAGTTACATCTCTCAGTCCCTGACATATCAAAGTAGCTTCCACTAACTTAAAATGTTCCTCAGGCCAAAGACTCACTTCCATAACAAGTGCTAAATGACATTTTCTTTTGCATTTAGTTACCATTAGTTAAGCACAGGTAGGGCAGTCATTCAGATATCCACAGTGGGATGTCAGAAAATGCTAATCATGGGGACCAACCTGACCACAGATTCTACAATGCTGACAAACAAGGTCACATTTTCCAGGAATTTGAGATAGTACTATGCAAATACATAAAACTGAATCTCTAAATATTAAGTTTAACAAAAACGTCTTGGTTATTTGTAGTGTTTACATATGGTAGGAATTGAGTTGGGCTCTATACTATTTTGGTAACCCCTGAGGGCAGCGGCTATTAAGTAAACAGGGAAACCAGTGGAATAATTTAGCATTCTTCTTTTTGACAAAGTGAACCAAAAAGTTGCACAAATATTTTAATTGCTTGTGCACAAAGCCTCAGGGATGCGGCCTAAAGCACACTTTGCACTGAGACTGATGAATAACTCAGGGAAAGCTAGCATTTCATACGGCAAATTCTACTTTCTCTGTAGGGCATGAGAGGAACAAATTTCTTTCAGGGAGTTAATATCAGAATTACTTAGAAATAGAGAAAACTTCATATACAGTACATTTTATATAGACATACAGTTGAAAAGCAGAGAAGTGTGCCCTTCTATTTCAAAACTAAAATTTGAAACGTATCAAAATACATTGCTACTTATTGAAATAGCCCAAATTAAAACATTCCATATATTTAAAAATTATAATTCATGCTTTAATTGTAATATCAACTTAAGAAAAAGCAATGTGATACAAATGCATGCCATTAATAAAACTTCTAAATGAAGAATTAGAATTTCCAATTTCCAATGATTAAAGAAGAGGCCATGAATTTAAGAGAGAGAAGGAGGGGTATGGAAGGAGTTGGAGGGAGAGGGAGGGCACAAATGATGTAAATATTAGTATTCATGTATGAAATTCTTAAAATTATTTTATTAATAAAAATCTATAAGCTCCAATTGAAGATTTTATGAACTCTGAGATTAGCCATCATTCTAATGCAGAAATGAAAAATGAACTTGATTTCCACAAACATAAATAATACAAAAACTTCTACAAGGAATCAGTATTCAAGGCACCACAATATTTTGTTGAATTTCCTGAGAGAGCAACAAAGCAGCAAAGCATCTATCAATTACAAATACTATGTAAAAAGTAAGCATGATCTAAATTTTGATTTCATGCATATTTCCCTACTTGAGGGTAAAATGCGGGGAGTAGGAGGAGAGGAAGGAGTAGGAACTGGGACTGGTATGCAAAATGAGAAAAGATTGTTTTAAAATAAATAAATAAAATAAAATAAATTTAGTCATTAACTTTTAAAGCTACATGATAATTTTTAGAAAACTCACATAAGGGTTTGTCCAGAAATTTATGCAACCTGATTTTGAACCTGATTTTAAATAATCTGGTTTTGTTTTATTTTTGAGATAGGGTTTCTCTGTGTATCCCTGGCTGTCCTGGAACTTGTTCTGCAGACTAGACTGGCCTTGAACTCAAGAGATCCGCCAGCCTCTGCCTCTGTTGGGTTAAAGGCATGCACCACCACCTAGTTAGAGTTAAGTATTTTTAATGAAGACAATTCATATATTTTGATCATGTTTTCCCCTCCCCAATTCTTTCCAGATTCTCTCAACCCTCCCCACTCAACTTTTATGCTCATTTTCTCACTGAGAAAAAAACTAAATAAAACAACAACAAAAATCCCTCACAAGATCACAAAAACAAATAAGCAAAAGACCAATAAGACCAAAAAAAAAAAAAAAAAAGACAAAAGGAGGAAAGCAAAGCAAAAATCCCACAAAAATACTACTGAATTGCTTAGGAGTTGGTCTTAGGTGTTACTTGTAGATATGCGGCATACCCTGAAGTGTGGCTGGTAGCCAGTGACATTCCACTGGAGAAAAGTGATTTTCCCTTTGGTAGGTATTAATTGCAGATAACTTCTTGATTACGGATAGAACCCCATGTCCACTTCCCCTTCTCAGTGCTGGGACCCCATCTGGTTTGAACTAGTGGAGGCCTTGTGTACGTTGCCACAGTCTCTGTGAGTTTATATGTGCATCAGTTATTGGAGGCATCCATCACCTCTGGCTCCGACAATCACTCTGCCTCGCCTTATGCATGGACCCCTGAGCCTTGAGGTGAGGGCTTTTATGGAGACATCCTATTTAGGACTGAGTGTTCTAAGGTCTCGCACTCTCTGCACATTGTCCAGTTGTGGGTCTCTGTGTCAATTCACACTACTACAAGAAGAACCTTCTCTGATGAGGGCTGAGCAAGGCACTGATCTATGGAGTATAGCAGTGTGTCATTAGGAGTTATTTTATTGCTATATTCCTTTAACAGAATAAGGTAATAGATTTTCCTCTAGGCCCATGATCTATGCAATCTCGGGTTCTTGACCACTTAATAAGTATCAAGTAAGGGTCCCATCTCATGGAGTGAGTCTTAAATCCAGTCAAAAAGTGGTTGTTTTCTCCCTACGGAAGAGGATCTGGAAAGAGTGTAAGAGTCAGAGGGATGGAGGACACCAAGAAAACAAGGCCCTCTAAATCAGAGTGAGAAAAGCTCAGAGGAACTCATAGATACTGAAGTAGTATAGTGTCATATTATTTGTATTTTAATAAATGAATCTTGTCTGAAGACCAGAGGCAATGCTAAAGTCACTTAGAGGTCAGACAATGGTGAAATTCACCTTTAATCCCAGGATTTGTGAGACAGAGGCAGATGGATCTCTGTGAATTCAAAGCCACCCTGGGCTACGCAAGATCAATGCAGAAATAAACCCAGGTGGTAGTGGCTTACACCTTTAATCCCAGCACTAGAGGGAATAAAAAATGAGAGGAGAGAGAGGCTTAGGCTGCTTAGTTTACGGTTGCCCAGCCTTGGTAGAGATAAAGACTTCTCTAGTGGCTTAGTTTATGGCTGCCCAGCCTTGGTAGACATGAGACTTCTCTAGTGGCTTAGTTTATGGCTGCCCAGCCTTGGTAGACATGAGACTTCTCCTAGTGGCTTGGCTGCTTTTCTGGCTTTCGGGCAGAACCCCAATTTCTGTCTCTGCATTTTTATTATTCGAGCTACAAAGTAGCATGCACAGGGCATACATGGGTCTTTACCAGGCACTCTGTGTATATATTATGGCTTCCAGTTTAGTGTTTTATGGATTCAATTCCTGAGTACAAGAACAACTGCATCTCAGATTCTTGTACCTTCTTGTTTCTTTTCTTTCTGTTGGTTTCCTTCCAACTTTAATGTGATACTTTTTATTTTATTTTACTATATTTTAATGTTATCTCTTAGAAATCTGCTATTTTCTATTTTATTTTTTCAAAAAAAGAAAACAAACTTTTTACATTTTACATACCAATCCCAGTTCCCACTCCATCCCCTCCTCCCATTCCCTCCACCTACTTCCCTACACCACCCCCACAGCCACTCCTCAGAGAAGGTGAGACACTTTGCTTTGGGAAAGGTCCAAGGCCCTTCCTACTATATCTAGGCTGAGCAAGATATCCATTTAAAGAGAACAGGTTCCCCAAAAGTCAGCACAAGCAGTAGGGATAAATTCTGATGCCATTGCCAGTGGCCCTGCAGTCTGCCCCAGCCATGTAACTGTCATCCACATTCAGAGGGACTAGTTTGGACCTATACTGGTTTCTTTCCTGTCTGGCTGGAGTTGGTGAGCTCCCATTAGCTCGGGTAAACTGTTTCAGTGGTTGTCCCCATCATGGTCTTGATCTCTTTGTTCATATTCTCACTTGTCCCACTCTTCAACTGGACTTTGGGAGCTCAGCCCAGTGTTCTGCTGTGGGACTCTGCCTCTGTGAAATCTGTTATTTTCTAGTGAGAGACAGAAAGAGAGTGGATCTGGATAGAAAAGGGGGTGAGGATGAACTTGGAGAAGAAGAGGGAGGGGAAACTGTAATCAAGATAAATTATGTGAGAAAATAATCTATTTTCATAAAAGGAAAAAAAAGAGTAATTGGTTTCCCCCATGACATTTGTGCCATTATTCCACCACTACAGGCAGGTTACTGTTATAGATCACAGGGCTGGTAGCTGTGTGGCATTGATGGTATGAAGGGTACCTTCCAATACAATAATGGTAGTCATTTCTATGTTTGATGATTTAATTAACTGTCTTCTTCAGCAATAGGGCCTTATCAGACCATAAAGAGCAACCAATGGCTTTAGCAATATTCTAGATGTTTGGGGGTTCCATGGAGCTCCTTTGGCCAATGAAGCAACAAGATGTAATTCATTCCTGCACTGGAGGATTTACTTAGTGATACAAGATGTCTAGTTGGTACACTGTCTTCTCTATTATTTGGTGATTCCATTTATATTCCTTTTACATATCCATGGATGTATATTATATAATTTAAAGTATATTAAATTATATATTAAATTTACATTTATATATTTATTATCTACTATAAATTGATTATAGTCAACATAAATATATTTATACATATAAATATATATGTTTGTACATTTCAGAAATCTTCTATAGTAGTAGGTATCTATATGGCTTTTCAAATGGCCTTTAATGTTTTTTCCTCCGCATACTCCTATTTTAACCTTCTCTCCCATCCCCCTACCTATTTAATCTTCCTATTCTAGTTTCCCTTTGACTCTTCATAACACTGTACTGGAGATTCTCTTTACCCTAGTCCCTAACCTCTGTGGTTATTTAGATTGTAACATACATAAAGAAGGCTTAAAATCCAATATCCACATATAAGAGAAAATATACAATATTTGTCTTTTGGTGTCTAGGTTATTTCATGCAGGATGATTCTTCTACCTACAGCCATTACCTATTAATTCCATAATTTGTTTTAACAGCTGAATAATATCCCATGGTGTAAATATACCACATTTTCATTATCAGTTCATCAAAGAACATCAAGGCTGTTTCCAGTTTCTGGCTATTATGAATGCAGTAGCAATGAACCTGGATGAGCAAGAATCTCTCTGCAGCAGGGTAGTTCTTTGGGCATAAACCCAAGAGTGGCATGGCTGAATTCTGGATAGATAGAACTCTACCAGCTTCTTGAGGAATCACCATACTTCAATTTCCATAGTGGTTGTACCAGTTCACACTCCCACCAGCATCTTCACCAGAATGAGCTATCATTTGTTTTATTGATCTTGGCCATTCTGGCTGGGAAGATTAAATCTCAAAGGAGTTTTGATTTGCATTTCTCTGATGCCTAAGCGAGTCGAACATTTAAGTGTTTCTCAGCCATTTGTGTTTCATCTTTTGAGAACTCTCTGCTTAGCTCTGTATCTCATATATAACTAAATTCTTGATGTTCAGAATTTTTAGTTCTTCATATATTTTAGATGCTATCTCTCTACCAAATATATAATTGGTAAGGATCTTTGCCCATTCTGTATGCTGCTTCTTTGACATACAGAAGCATTTCAGCTTTGTGATGTCCTGTTGGTCTTAGTGATGAGCTGTCTGTGTTCTGGTCAGATGTCCCTTCTGTGCCAGTGAATTCAAGGCCATTCCATGTGTCAGATTCAGGGTATTTGGTCTGTGCTGAGGTCCTTGATCCATTTGGAGTTGAGTTTCGTGTAGGGTTGTGAGTATGAATCTGTTCTTTCTTCTGCAAGCAGCCATCCAGTCTCATGGGCACCATTTGTGCATTTTTTACCTCATTGTCAAATACCAGGTATCCACAGGATGTGAACTTAAGTCTGTGTCTTCAGTTTGATTCCATTAATCAGTGTGTCTGTTTTGTTCCAGTCCCATGCTGTTTTATTCCTATAATAGAGCTAACTACCAGTGTGTTCTTATTCCATTAGATTAGATGGCAAAGCTCACAGCAGTTCACAGTGTGCTCTCATTCTCATCTGCTGAGAAATCATTACCTGAACAGTTACAATCTTATTTTTAATTTTCTTAATTACACACATAAAAAATTGAATTTAATATTTATTATGTACACAGTACTTTAAGTTTTATGAATGGTGAAATACAAAGCATTATCATTATGTTCGAATTTCCAAAACATAACAAAAATGATGGCTATATCAAGTCCAACTTACCATACATGGAAAATCCATGGAAGGGGATTACACCTGAAAAGTAAAGAGAGTATCAGTCACACACCTCTGCTTCATGCAGGAGTCACAGGATCAAAACTGCAAATACAGATGTTTCTTTCTTCTTTCACTTTGTTTGAAAGGTCAGCAAGAGCGACTATAGCCAACAACAGTTGTTTTAACACTCTCAGAAAATTTTAACTCTCTTAGACATTTTCAAACATATCCAAGATGGAGGAAGTAAGGAATTTACTATGAGGTGACTGTGGAAAACTACAGCTATGCCTCATCTTGGGCAGGAATTGGAGAGCGCTGGCGACCTGCCCATGTCTTGGTCTGTGTGTACAGTTCCGGTTAGAATACAGCATTGGCCATGAACCTCCTTTACTGCAGTGAGGTTGTTCCCACTGAGTCAGAAATTAAGGCATTATCCTTTGCTAACCATGACTCCTGTACTAACAAGGGGGCAAGTTACTATCATCCTCAAAAGCCCAGGCTTAAGCTTGAATTATAATAGCATTTGCATTAGTTTGGACTCTTGTGGGCTTTTCAATGGGAAGAAATGTCCTATAAAGGATATAGGGTTCACCATAATTTCTAAGGGGTAAAAAGGTTACCTTATGTCCATTAATAAACATACCACACACCTTATAAATATTTATAAAGCATTAAAAATATTGACAAGGCAGCACCCCCGTACTCGCACTCCTAACCCCACATATACAGATTTGGGTCAGCCTGCTCCAATCTCTCTGGCTTCTACTTTCATTTTGCATTGCTTTGTATATTAACTTGTGCCACTCTGTATCTCTCAGCTGGGTTCTCTCCATGGAGCTGAGCTGGATAACCACCGCAAGTGTCTTAGAGTCAGCTGATAACGCTCCTCCTTAAACAGTTCTGTCCCCGCTTGCTAGGATCAGTGAGACTTTCAAGGCATTTCTTGTAATCTACATCACTTTATTTACAAATATTTAATCAGTTTTACTAATAATTCTATCCTGGAATGACTCAGGAGACATATTGACAGAGCTGTTTTATAAATTCATATGGTATAATCATCTGACAAAAACTTTATACAAAGTCTACATTGTTTGCAAAGAAAGACTCAAAGCCTAACTTTGTACACTAAACATCTTGCTGTGTTCTGTGGAAAATTGGAATTTGCACACCCTTGGTTCTAAACAGAGTACCTGTAATTTATATTACTGACTATCATATGGAGCATTAATCAGTTTATCAATGCACTCTATAAAAAAATCAAATTTATATTTATTTATTTTAAAGTATAGAAATGCTGTGTTCTTCTAACTTGTGAGGAGGCAAAAAAGAGTGCTACAAGGCCATCTAGACTAAGTTCTAGGAAATCCCAGGTGGCTCTCAGTCAAAGCATGCCCAGCAATAGAGGACATGGGCCATTTCCAAGGCATCTTTTTGGGGAACAGTTTCTCATCTGGGTCAAACTCCAGCTACCTGCAACATCTAGTTCTTATTCCTAATTCTGACCATGATCACATGCAACATGTCTACTTTGCCTTCTACTGTACAGGGAAATGTTCAGAAATATTTATTCTCACCCTAGCCCTGTTACAATTTGGTACCCACAGAGGCTCCATGAGGTTCTTGAACTGTTCCTCAAAAAAAGTGGCCTGGCTCCCTAATTTATTCTCATCTGAAAGTTCAGAACTAAAACTGTGGAGTGTTCTCCTCCCCACACAGCCAAGATGGCGCATTTGGACAGTTGTTTCTGGACCTGGGTAGGGGCTGTGCTCATCTTCTTGGTTCCATGTCTTCTTTGGTGACCACTCCAGTTGGAGGTAATTCTGGGTTTGCATTGTTACCTAATGTATTTGCTATTCTCCCTGATACATACTAGCTGTGCCCTCTTCTAGGACAACATAAAATGGTGAAGAAGAGAGGGTGAGACAACACTGTCACTAGAAAACACCTTCCATGTAGGTTTAACCGCTGCCCTTTGTGGTCAGTGAAGAACATAATGAGATACCAACAGACTTGTGTGCTTGTGTGGTTACTCTTGTTTTGTCATTTAGGAGTTTTCTGTGTCTTTCAGTAAGTTTCTTAACTTATGAAAGCTTCAATTCCTTTATCCACAATGAGAGAACATGCTAGAACCTACTTACATGAGGAAATGAGAAAAAGTCTGTGGCTCAGTCCTCATATGAGAGTTAAAATGCTTGGGTTTGTAATAAATGTATACTGTTGATATAAGCAGTCACAAAATAATGTCATGCTTCTTTGTTTAAAAAGAATTTAATAAAAATATTAAGATGGGAACACAGTTATTGTTTTTGAGCTAGTATGCCAGTGCACCCGGAAGTTAGGCAGCATATGTAGCTCTTAGGTGTCACGTGCTCTAAGTCTCATTTCTGTCTCCGGTGTCTCACTTCACAGCACGTGGCTGATTTATAAGTTTAGTCTACTTTGGCTGTTTCTGTTGCTCAGCAGGGTTCTCCTTATCTCTATTTTCTTAGCCACCCTATGTTTTGAAAACATTCTCACTTTTAACACCCAGCAGGCCTTACTTCCCCTGCACTAGAAGGCTGAAGTCACTGGCATGGCCTCAGACCTGTCTGTTGTTTGTGCCTCACTTTTTCTCACTGGCATTCTCAACAGGACGACATTTCCCTTTCCTCTCTCAGGTCACTAAATCCTGTTTCTTTAATGTCCCCAGCTGTTAGGAAGCTAATTTCACTCCACGACTTGTTCATGTTTGATTTGTGAGCTGAGAAAGGCTTTTGTATTGTTAAGGATTATTTACAAAAACAAATAATATGGAGCAGAGAGACAGTGGCCAGAAAAACTGAAAATATTGACATCTGACTGGTTACAGAAAAAGTTTGCCAACCTTGCTTTGGAATCCTGTCCATCAATGATCCCTTTTTCCCTCCGTGCATGTCACTCATCAAACACTTGCTGAACTCTAGTTCATCTGGATGCTATTTTAAGGACTGCAACTGACCTTTTCTTAGGGAAAAATTGTAAGTTTCTATAGCACAGTGAAGAGGGATGAGGAGGTCAGAGGTGCAGAGGAAGCCACAGAGGCTGAACAGGTAAGCACCAGATTGGTGTGGGAGGTCCTATTGCATATGTGCTCCTTTTATTGGTTAAGGAATACAGGAGCTGCTTTCAGCCAATGGCTTAAGAGAATATAGCCAGGTTGGAAAAGATATATATAGAGAGAGTAGGCGGAGTCAGGGAGAAGCCATGTAGCTTCTGCCAGAGACAGACTTGCTGGAACCATGCCGGTAAGCCAGAGCCACATGGCAATACACAAATTAATAGAAATGAGTTAATTTAAGATATAAGAGTTAGCCAGAAATAAGCTTAAGCTATTGGCCAAACAGTATCACAAATAATATAGTTTCTGTGTGATTATTTTGGGTCTAAGTGGCAGGAATGAACCAACAGCCTCCCCCAACACTGGATGAAGAGCCCAAAGGTAGTCAACGGATGGCTGAGAGAAGGAGAAAAGCTCACTGCACGCAGTATGAGGTGGATGGTGGTGGGCCTGCTCTTTACTTCTACTGTGGAGGCACAGAGGCAAGGGTGGGGTTCTAAGTTTTTGTATCTTTAGTTTCTGTGCACACCTTTCAAAGATTTTACACATGCATGCACGTGCGCGCGCGCACACACACACACACACACACACACACACACACACACAAACCCATATATCTCCTTACACATCATCATCAAAAGTCCATTTTATTCCCCAGACACCCTTACATGATAAGGTTTATTTTCTGCCTATATGGCCCTAACTTCTGATTACCAAATCTCGGGTCTCTCTGCCTGTTGTGACTAAGTTAGATTCCAACAACTGAAGGCACCTTCTCAGCCTTGACCTTACCATGACAATGATGACCTGGGAAGATAAGGCAGATAAGGCTGTTTCCCAAAACTTCAGTTTACTTGTTTTGTTTCCTGTGATTCTTCTGACCATTCTTAATCTCAGCTTCCTTCCAAGACTCTGCCATATTTACTTTCCTTCTCTCTACCAGAATTCTCATTATTAATCTTTAATTGAAACTGTGAAATCCCATGATCTTACCTCCTTCTGGATGCTGCTTCTATAGATGCTCAGCATATCCCCCGACAAGCAGGAAAGAAACCTTTAGGCTATCACTGCTTTCTGGTTCTCTTTTGGTTCTGATACCAAAAGAGGTAATCTCTCCTTCTGGCCAGCTGTGCACTTGGCTACAAGCGCAACATCATTCTTTTTGCCTACCCTATAAACATGACTCTCTCTCCCCAGTGGACAGCATCCTCTTTAGCTTTAGGCAATGACAGTTTCCTCCAGTCCTGTACCTGAGTAAATTTAAATTTTAAAAAAGATACCAAGTTATTTGAGAACTTATATACAAAATATTTTGACCACATTCAGCAACAGAATCATCTCCCAACAGTCCTTGACTTCTCACCCCAAACAATTCATCCAGAATACTCCTGTGCCAGCTGACCTGCCCTGACTGACTGAGGCACAAACCTTCTCCATGTACCTAGGCAACACTATGCAATTCCAGCTCTTATCACCGTCCACAGACATGGAGGGAAGTTATTTAACCTACTTGTTCTTCCAGAATTCTCTCAGGCTCTAATCTGACTAGAAACACTACACAAACTTCATGTGTCTTCTGAGTAACCATCACACACTCTCAGGTCAAATTCCCTGAATCCAGTTCACAAGGCTTCCATGTTCTTTTTAGTCCTGATGGATGTGTACTGCACTCAGGGGAGGTTCTTTGTGGAAGCATGAACAGGATGAGAAGAGCTGTGTTTATTGTACTCTGGGGACTGCTGAGCAGTCACAAAATCTAAAACCTGGCCTTCTGGATTGTTATAAACGTATCTGTGCCCAGACAAGAAAATGCAGAAAAATTAACCAGATTACTGCTTTGATTAACAACTTATAATATTTAGAGTTATGATAGATGGGTCCTGTGAGAGTTATAGCTTTCACCTATAGAGTGCTGCCAATGGGATGGTTAGGCAAACAAGATAATGTAACACAACACAAT